AAAAAAAAAAAAAAAAAAAAAACCAACTATGAACGCAATGACTGGACTTGAATGAGCCCTACATCGGCGACCGACCACGGATGGCGGCAGCGATCTCCATAGGCATGTGGCACATCATCCTCTGCGTCTCATCGGACGCCGCGTAGTGCGCTTTTTGGACTGCAACTTCCTTCTCAAGTATGTCGTATTGCCTCGTGAATATGCTGCATTGCCGCTTGCTAGACGATTCGACCGTCGACGACATCAGTTCGCCATGGAGGTCCATGACATCAGCGATCCACTCCAACGCCTGTTGACGCGCATTCTTCCGCTTCCCGCCTCCAGCCCCACTGCCTGCGTTGTTGTCAGAGTCCCTCGCAGAAGAACGTTCTTCAGGGAAGCCTTCACCACCGGCCTCACTACCAACAGACTCCCCACCACCCGCTCCTTGCCTGGGCACCTGCACCCCGTCCGGACTTCCGGTGTCGGCGACGTTGGGAGGAAAAATGGTGTGGTTGCCCACCATGCCTGCGTGGATCTCATTGTACAGCACCCTCTCCATCCGGAACTTGAAGTTGTGCTCCTTCCTTTCTTCATTCGATAGCCTGAAGAAATCTGGTTGGCCGCTCGCATTCTGAAACCTCTGTATCTTCTTGTAGTTTTGGAAGAGATTGTCCCACTTCTTCATGCAGTCGTCCGCGTCTCTAGGCCTCCCCGCGTTCGCCATGCGCTTCGCAATGTCGTCCCACTTCCACTCCTTGGTCCGCATCCGACCGTAATTGTGACCGAACCCGACAAGGTGCATGTCTTGCTTCCGCTTGCATCTCACCAAGAGCATTTGGTCTTCCGGAGACCAGTACGTCGCAGACTTCCCGCCGTCGTCGTCGCCGCCACCTCTGCCGCCACGGCCAATAGATCGACCACGAACAGCACCTCTGCTGCGTCCTCTCCCCCTCCCACCCGTCTTTCCCAGAGGCCGAATATGAATGTCGTCGTTGTCGTCCCCTGCTTCCACGTCCTCCATCAATCGTTCGTCGGCGTTGTCACCGCCACCACCATCGTCGTCGCCACCATCGCTGTGTGCCTGCATGTTTGACACTCCTCGTGTGATGTTCTCCACAGTGTGTGCTGGACGCACCGGCGGTCTGCAGGCGCCCTCGTCCCTGAACTCGGTTCTGGTCAGCGTTGTGCAGTTCGACATCGAAGGACGTGCACCGCCGATGCGCAGGGACCCCCCCGCGACTCCACTGTGTGTGGGGCAGGTACTTCTCAATCGATCGGTGGACGGTGCAGTCGATCCATGCTGCCGGGCTACTACCGAAGGGCCGACACCGCTTGTGATGGACGCACCACCACGAAGTGTGAACTGCTCTGTATGCTGACTTCCAGCATGTTGAACGCCACGTGGCGAAGGATTGACATCGATGATGAACGTACGGCTCGCCTCCCTAACGTCGCCGGAACACAACCCGAACCGGAGACCAACTCCGCCGTCGTCGTCATCTCCCAAGCCTTGATGCAGCAGTGAGGTAAACTCGTCGCCTTCGTTGCTAGCCAACCCGCCTGCTCGCACCGTCTGCGACAACAGCTGCGTCGACCCGCTGGCAAGAGGCAACGTTGAAAGTTCTTTCGTCTCTGGCTCCTCGTCCAACGGGGGCAGTGGCGTCTCCCACGACTCCAGATGCCTGTACAAAGATTGGACATTCCCCTGCCGCCCATTTCGTCGACGCCCGCCTCTTGCGATGTTGTTTCCACGACAGCCACGACAAACATACGTGGAGGAAGACGACAATCAGGAACACAATGACAGCAAGTACCAGTAGAGGCAATCTCCTCTGCACGACAGCCATGAAATTCACCTCGGGAGCCACCCTCGCACATGACTACTGCAGACGACTGTTCGGACATGCCAGGGGATAGGGCTGCTCGACCTTCATATGCCGACAACCAGCAACGAAGACGACAAAGACGCCTGCCTGCGATTTAGAAAAACCGACCGTTGCCGCCCGTGCACCACCCGAAGCGCCTCCGTATGTCGTCCCACACACGTCATTGTCCTCCTCCGCTACCCGCAACCGAGCCAACGGTCCACTACGGATGTCAGCCCACCCACGGTCGCCCCCCCCCCCCCCCCCCCCCCCCCCCCCCCCCCCCCCCCCCCCCCCCCCCCGTGCTCCACCGCGTTGGCCAACGGCTACCGTTGCCGGCCGTTGCCGGCCTCGACCTGCATAAAACCTCCAATGTCTGACCACCCACCATACGGACCGCTCCTGGACCAGCAACCCCGTGTCGATGGTGCCATGCGCGCGATGCAACGACTCCGTGAAACGCGGGATCCTAAATTTTTCAGTAGGTCGGGAGCTACTGGAAAATTTAGGATGATTTTGCCTGGGGAATCCTAAATCCTTTAGGACTCGTCCTAACGCCGTTTTCACATTTTCGATCTCAAAATTGGATTTAGGATTGCGTGCAACCAAGATGCAATTCTAAAAACAGGCACTTTTAGGAGTGTCTAACGAGACCCTAAGGCGCGGGGAAATCAACCCACAAACCCTGATGCGGCAGAGCACGCGCAAGCAAGAAGTACTGTGCAGCTGCAGGCAAAAATTGCAATGCACCCAAATTCATAGCCTAACTTAAGTTCTAAGGGTCTCATTAGACACTCCTAAAAGTGCCTGTTTTTAGGATTGCGTCTTGCTTGCACGCAATCCTAAATCCAATTTTGAGATCGAAAATGTGAAAACGGCGTTAGGACGAGTCCTGAAGGATTTAGGATTCCCCAGGCAAAATCGTCCTTAATTTTTCAGTAGCCCCCGACCTACTGACAAATTTAGGATTCCCGCATTTCACGGACTCGTTGCGTCGCGCGCATGGCACCGTCGACACGGAATTGCTGGTGCAGAAACGGTCCGTCGGGTCAGTGATCGGACATCGGAGAGGTTTTCTGCGGGTCGACGTGGGCAACGACCACGAACGGTAGCCGTTGAGAGGGATTGGACAGACATTGGCAGGAATGGATGAACATTGGCGACGCGGCTGTGTATACGCATATAAAAACAGGCCGCGGGAGACCTTTTAGGACGAATCCTAAAAGATGATTTTTAGGATTGCACGTAACGACGCCGCACAAAATCCTAAAAATCCTTTAGGACTCGTCCTAAAAATTTTAGGATTCTTTTAGGAATGTCTAACGAGATCCTAATTGCAAAAAGAAATTTCGAGAACTCGTATGGGCCCGACATAAGTTGAAAATTCAAAAAGATCCAAAAAGATTCCTCCGATAATCGCGCCAAAAATCCCCATTCCTCACCGCAGAACAAGAAAGAAGCTATGGCAACAATTATTTTCCGCGCTCGCTAAGGTGCGATCAACTACCAACCGTCGTGGGCCATCCTTTTTCCCAGGAGACAAGGGCATTCGCGTAATTGGGTGGGCCCCTCCTCAACCAACCCCCAAGCATTGCCACGCAGAAAAGCGTGCGCTTACAAACAAGCTTCTACTTGCTCTGTGAACTCCCGTCAATCCCTTGAAGAGAAAAACACTGTCGAAGTTCTCTATCCCCTGTGGGAAGCCAAGTCTAGTGGATGGTGCGATGGATGCAGGGAAAGTGATGGTCTTGATGGGGAAGTGATGCCAGATGGTCAGGATAATGAGTGCAGAGAATGAGGGGGATCGTGGCGTGGAAGTCTTCATAATCCTGACAGGCGGGGATTGTGCCCGTTGTCGGCCCGAATACCCTTACAAGGGTATTGGGGCACATTTTTGCATTTCACAGAAGGTGCGTTTTTGATAGTAGTCGAGAGGGTGTCTCGTTTCTGTGTGGCCATAACCCACTCTTGGAAGTTGGAAATGGCACGCACTTTTGATCTAATTAAGAGAGTGTGTGGGCATGCACTTTGAGGGCACGCACGAGTATTTGACGGATATCTGATTATGAGAACGGCGCTTGCGCCTAGTAACGTGAACTAGAAGGAGGTTGTGAGACAACTGCAGTAGCGCACGAAGAAAGGATTCACGTTTGAGACCGGCATTTGGGCAATTTGGGATAAAATCTAGTCTTTAGACCCGTTTGACTTACTGGTTACGGCACTAGGATCAGTAAAAAGCAAAAGAACGAGACTTCCTAGGCTGACAACGATATTGGTCAAGGATAGAAGCCACAGACGACACTATGAAAGTCAGGACTTTTCGAGCACATAGGTGGTAAAAGTGCAACTTTTTTGGGGAGGTAACCTGGCTAGAAAGATAGGGTGCACGACAGAGGCAGGTAAAATTGGCCATATGGCCGAGGGCCGAGACATGGGAACCTTCGAGATGACCGGTGTGCCTAAATACGGCCTTTAGTACAACCCGACAGGCTTAGGCCTGAAAACAGAGGCTCCCCCTGCGGGACCGATGCGCTCGACAGGTGGCGCCGTTGCCGGAGATCTCGGCTACCTACCGGGGTCCTTAGTGAACACCCTGGTTAAGTGCAGGCTGATCATCCATGCAAAACGACAAAACCCTATGTTTTGGATTGTCTTATATGAGAGAAACGTATATGGTATGTAAGTCATGATACTGATGGTGATGTAGGTAGTAACAATATGTGATTATGAGAACGACCAAGATTGTATCTATGGCCCTGAGTAATTAGTAATAATTAGCAGAAGAATGGTTAATTATGTTTAAAGATGAGACGTCTAGATACTACTTAGATAAAGTGCTTCGAAAGTTGACGAGCTATTGATAAGATATCTTTCTTATTCCGAACAGGATATAGAGATGTCGGACGTGGATGAAATCGAGCAGGGCCCGGCTGCTACGCCGGAGAATTTCGTCAAGGCAATCGAGAAAAGAGAGTTAGCACGGCTACAAGTGCCGAAGGTTGACATATTCTTGTTTAAAGGGGAAAGGGCGTCTAAATGGTTAGAAATATTCGAGCAAATTACGAGCGAGGCATCTGAGGCAGACAAGTTCAAATTGCTGCCTAGATATGTCTGGTGGGAGATTCGGCCTGAGATAATGAAGGTGGCTGCTGGAGCGGCAAGAGTTTGAGCGATCTTCAACAGAAAAATTTCTCAAAATTAAATAATCATTATATAGTAAAATTACATTCTAAATTTTAAATTTTCATTCCATCTTAAAAAATGTCATTCCAATTTTAAAATTTTTCATCTTACTAGAAAACTTTCAATCCAAGAATGAACTATCTCTTCTTTTTTGAACTACATGCTGGAGATGGAATGAAAGTTTGGATGAGCTCATGAAATATTTTAATTGGGCTGTCATTCTATGTAAGGATTTTCAGTCATAAATAGGTTAATCCAATCTAAATTAAAAGTTATTTGTTATAATAAAATGAAAGTTTAATTAAAATATTTCATAAACTCATCCAAACTTTCATTCTATCTTGAACAAATAGATGTAGTTGGAAGGGAAAACTCATATTTAGACGGGAACTTATGAAATAAAACTGAAAATTTTAGAATTGGATGAACATTGGAATGATAATTTATAAATATGAAGGATTTTGTTTTTAATGGAATGTTTTTTCAACTTTCATTTCTCGTGGGAATTTTTATGTTGTTCAAAGAGAAAATGCAAAGGCGCTTCAAGCTGGGGGATGGTCTACTAACGAAGGCAGATCTAAAAATGTTACAGCGAAATGACTTTACCACTTTGGACGCATTCGCGACGACTTTTGAGAAAATGACAAGGAAGGTCCCTGGGATGGCGGAAGAGGAGCAATGGGCAACCTTCCTAGGGCACTTCACAAATTGGGAAAACTCTGCGCTGACCAAGAAGATTGCGCCAAAGAAAAAGTTGACATGGGCTACTATAAAAGAAAGTGTGATAGATGGGGAATTGGACCAAGTAGACCTCTTCCAAATGCGGTAGGCAAGAAAAAAAAGAAAGGCTTTGGATGTTACGACAAGTAACGGTCAGGACCTTAAGAAAGTTGTGGAGGAGGTAGTGACCCAACTTGAAGCTACGAAAGAAGCGAATGCTGCCAAAAGGGTAATGACAGTAACGCAGGCCCAGGGACGGGCAAAAAAAGCAGTAGTACAAGAAGAAGAAGAAGAAGAAGAGGAAGAACCTGAGCCTCAGAAGTTAACAAAGGCACAGAGGAAGGCCATAAATCTGGCCCACGGAGGACAACGGTCAGGAAGAGGCC